CTACACTCTAAGCCCTGAACCCGAAACCGTATACACTACATCCTATGAGGCCTACACCCGAAACCCTGGACCCTACAAGTAAGACCTACACTGGGCCTCAGGTTCACAAGTGCGATCTACTTTGAGCAATTTGGGGTTCTGGGTTGGCACCTAAATTTTCAGCTCTCCACCCTATAGATGAGCGACATTTAGGGTTTAGGGTTTAGGGGCTATGTACCTTCCCTATACACCCTAAATCCTAAACCCTAAGCCCTTTTAAGCCCTAAACCCTGAAGCGAAACTCTGAGCTCCAAATCCTAGACCCCGACGTAGAATCCCTCAAGTACCTCTGTCGAGCCCGAAAAGCCAATCACCCACAAATAGGGCCTACATAGGCCCTGCTCAAGGGTAGTTATTCCTAAGCCCTAAACCCCTAAACCCTAAATAGTAGTTTCCATCATATTTTCCACTATCCCAATATGACCCACGTATAGAGTTGTCCTCCAAGCCTCTGTCCTCCAGTGGAGTCTTGACGCAGGAAATCTCGGTATGCAGGCGCAAACTGCAAGCCCGCCTCCACCAAAAAAAATGAGCCGCAGTCTAAACTCCTTAAAGAAGGGGGGCGGTTGTATAGGGTTTAGGGTCTGAACTCCTCAAAGGGGGTTATATAGGGGATGATATAGGGGACTATTATAGGGAGTTTAAGGGGGATATTAGGTGTTTAGACTGAGGATCATTTAGGGTTAGCGGATTTAGGGTTTATAGGGCTAAGCGCTTTTAGGGTTTAGGATTTGAGCGTTTTTAGGGTGAAGGGGTTAGAGGGTTTAGGGTTGCAGGGGCTTTAGAGTTTGGGGCTTGCCCGAAACTGGGAAACAGGAAAGAAGGGATACATAGGGGAGAAGGGATAGAGGACCATACAGGGAATAGGGACATCCGCATGTATAAGACTTGGAATGGAAAAACGGTTCCTGAAATGAGGGGTCACTTCTCGGAAAGATATCAGATAAGAGGTTGGTTTTGATGTTCAACCCATTTGGTAGTCCAGCCTTCTGAGGTAGTAAATACCAGTCTAAGAATGATAAGGATGAGAATCGGCTCTATTCGGTTTTCCATGCAATGGGATGACTCAGACGGGGCACCGTATACTATGATCAGTACTTACTACCTAAACCCCAAAAGTATGTAAAATAATAGCCCTAAACCCAGAATAATAGCCATAAAGGCCATTATTTTACATACTTTTGGGGTCCAGGTACTCTTCAGTCTACGACCTTGGTACTTCAAGTACTATGTACCCTACCCTCAACGCATCACATGAGCCACAAAGGTGATCCTGCAAAGAGGTTTAGGGTTTAGGGTTTAGGGCTCCACAACCATATTGGAGGCTTACTACGTCAAGAGAGCCTGGCTGTATACGGCAACCTTCTTTCTTCTATGTTACGCCTTCACCCTCTTATACCCTTAAAACAAATGTTTAGGGCCTACGCAGGACTCCTTCAAAAACCATAAGCCCTAAAACAGGGATATCCCCTACACCTTCTTTGGGATAGCGTTATGTAAGATTATGTCTAGTATCTTCTCTTAATTAACTGGGTTGGTGATTAAAGATCCGCAGAATCATTTACAAATAGGGTCCTTTGTTACCACAAGAGGGAAAGAAGCAGATACCCAAATGAAGTACTCTGAAAAGTGGTTTGGAGGGTCAGGGGCATTTAGCAAGTAGGTTAATGGGGAGCATTAGTGTTACTATATGCCATATGCCTTATAGGGGTTATGAACGTACTTACTACGTCCTCTCACCCTCCAAGTAGGGTAAAGAGCCCTAAGCCCCAAACCCTATAGAGCCCTCAACCCTAAACCCAGGGCCTGAAACAGGCTGTGGACGCACTGCAGACCAAGATCCTTAGGCGTCGTTGAGAAGGCCTTTCTGGAAGGGTTTAGGGTTTAGGGTCTGGGGTTTAGGGTTTAAGGTTTGGGATTTCGGGTTTAGGGTTTAAGGTTCTGGAGGTTTCCATAGGTTAGGGGACCTTTTGGGGGGCACCCGTTATAAGGCTGATATGTAATATTGGGATCTAAAATGGGGCCCCGCCATGTAGGGCAACTGCCAGGCACATGATATTTTCTGGAGGGCTTGAGGTGAGGATATGCGGGTTAGAACATGCGGCTTACCGTCTTTCATGAACACTGCCAGGAACATCCCGCATACTTTCCGCAAAGCCTAAAGCCTAGACACTTCCTTATCCGGGTTTTGGGCTTGTGGGCTTAGCATGGGGGAGAGGGAATAAGGGGGATAGTTGCAACCCCAACCCACCAAGCAGTAGTTAGGACACTCTTACTTCTAGTCTTGTTATATGATGGTCATTAGGTCCTAGTTTTGGGGTTAGGCTTACCCAAGCCCTCTTCTTACCTAGTCTAGCAAACACCATGATTTTACTTTGCCAGTTGAGATTACCATGGTGACAACAGCCGAAACAGCTCCAACTGTAGCTCGGCTCCAACTGTAGCTCCAAGGCTACCCGCACGGCACACCCCAAAACCCAGACCCCCTAATAGGATCAAACAAATTGAAGCCCCCCCCACAAAAAGAAAAAAACAAAAAAACATGATCCGTTACTCCTTTGGTGAACCTAAGGCCCTAAGGGATTGTGCATGGGTTCCAGTTTTGGGGATCCTTTAAGGGGGTCTGGGAAACTGAAAATCCGTAGGCCCGATACGCAAACCCTGAGCATGACAGCCCAACGTCTTTACTTCATTTCAGCTATAGTCTAAACTCCTAGCATCACCCTTAATAAGCCCTAGTATTGGGTTTGGGGCTTAGGGTTTAGGGTCTAAACTCCAGGTATCCCCCTTAATTACCCCCAGAGTGGTCCCTAAATAATCCCCTGTACAACCCCCTTCAAGGAGCTTAGACTACTACAGCTCATTTTCGCTGGGGGGACTCGTTTATTTCATCTGTATTGGATTCAGGTATTCATTTGAAAGCGGTATTTTTCAACAACCACCCAGCTTTCACCTCAACATCTACACCCTAAACCCTAAACCCTAAACCCTAAATCCTCACCATTAAGCAGCTCGAAGCCTCCAAGAACTTGGCTCTACAACGCCAAAAAGTTGACCCTAAGGTTTAGGGTTTAGGGTTTAGGGCTCCCTACCTCAAGCACTGCAAACCCGCAAACCAACCCTTCAACTAGGGTTCAGGGTTTAGGGTTGCGTATCCCCAAGCCCTTGACCCTCCAACACAAGATTTTCCCGAACTTTAGCTTAACCCCCCAAACTTACCCAAGCCCTTCGCCCCCAAGTCCCTAAACCCCATCAAGCCTCAAACCATATGAGCTATAGTCTAAACTCCTCATATCCCTATAGTAACGCCTATAATAGTGTCCTATGATAAAGAAACCCCCTTTAAGAAGTTTAGACTATAGCTCCTATAGTAAGAACCAGAAAAGTTGAGCTTCGAGGGTCGTAGTAGCCGCCACACTGGATGTCTTGCATACCACTCCTATGATTCGTTAGGGTTTAGGAAATAGGGTACGGGGTTTAGGGTTCAGGCTTGGAGGCAAGGTTCCTACACCCTAAACCCCACAAACCTCAAACCCTAAGCCTCCCTTCTGACCGCGGCTCTGCGGGGTTCCTTGTGACTTCAGGGAATGGTAAGGCCTTGGGTTGAGAGATGACTTCAGATGTAATGGCTTCAGATGTAAGGTTTGGGCACTTAGGGTTTAGGGCTTAGGAGGTAG